ATCCACGCCACCTTTCTCCCAGGAGGCCGAGGGCCCTTAATTGGCCTCTCAGAGGTGGTAAGACAACTCCCACCTGTTTATGCTCTCTGTATGTGTGTATATATATCTCCTCAATATATGTTCCATTCTATATGCATCCGAAGAAGTGGGCTATAGTCCACGAAAGCTTATGCTCTAATAAATTTGTTAGTCTCTAAGGTGCCACAAGTCCTCCTGTTCTTCTTCTTGTTACCATGTTCCAGCATGTCCAGTCTTTGCAGTTGTGATGCTTTAAGGATCACATATTTAAGTGATTAATTGTACCTTGCTTAATATTTAATGTGATATACTTTTCTAGTGGCTGTCTTTCTCTTCTAAGATGTTCAGGAGGTCTTCCAGTATATCATTTTGGCACACATCATCTTTCGGTTTTTATGTTCTCAAGACAACGTGATATATGGCCCACACTGTTGAAGTGGAGCCATTTATTATATTGTCAAAAATTACACTTTACCTGACACTACTGACATACTACTGACTAACTGGAAACAGAATATACTAAGGCTTTATGCAATGATTCAGTAGTTTAATTGTGTCATGGTGTCTGAAATTGGGCCTGCTCTTCCCTAGAAACACAATATCAGCTTGTACAGTAACTCCTCACTTAATGTCCTCTCGGTTAACGTTGTTTGTTATGTCGCTGATCTATTAGAGAACATGCTTGTTTAAAGTTGTGCAATGCTCCCTTATAACATTGTTTGGCAGCCTCCTGCTTCGTCCACTGCTTGCAGGAAGAGCAGCCCATTGGAGCTAGCTGATGGGGGTTTGGAACCAGGTTGCATCGGCAGCCCCCTAACAGCTCCCCTATGTTTGCTGCCCAGCAGGCTATCAAGTGCTGGGCAGTTCAGGTGTCCCTCTCCCCACTGCCATGTTCTGCTCCTGCCCTCTGCCTTGGAGCTGCTCCCGGAAGATTCCTGCTTGCTGTGCAGGAGGTGGGGGAGAAGAGGAGTGCTGATGTCAGGGTGTCCCCCTCCCCCACTCCTGTACCCCATCTCCACAGAGCGGGGGACACACCATAGGGCTCAGGACGGAGGAAGCTTGCTGGCAACAGCTGCTATCTCAACTTGCAGATATACTTAAGAAGGCAGTGTACTTAGAGAGGGTCAGCGTACTTAAAGGGGCAATACACGTCTCTCTCATACTCTCTCTCTCTCTCTCTCACACACACACACACACACACACACACACACACACACACACACACTACTAGTAGAGAGA